TCCTTAATTTACACCTGAGAAGAGTAAACGGAAATCATTTTTTTTGAAGCCGTTTATTCTCGTTTATTCAGCGTTCACAGACTAGTCTCGCTTTTTGCCGCACTGGCGTATCACTTGATTTTTTCAAATTTTCAGCCCGAAAATTTAAAGAAGAACCAGTTTTTGTTATTTATTGAAAATAAAAATGAAATTTTAACAATCCTTTTAATCATTACAAACATTAGTTAACTCAATAATTCATTACACGGCCCTGTAGTTAGAAACAAAAAATTATTCATCTGAATACCAAGAACATCAGCAATATACAGTTGGAAGTGTCAATTAAATTGAGATGAAAGAAAAAGCGCCTGATTTTGAAAAATTTGCCAAGAGAAAAAACATGGCATTAAGGCAAATTTGAATTTCATTGAAGCTTTATAAAAACCACCTTTTTCTATGAAACTCTGGGATATTTAAACATTTTCTAAAGTAAGGTCTTCTTGTTTTTTGCGGAATTTTCACTCTGGTTACTTTTGGAGAGATAATTTGACTTCGCTTTAGCGCATTAATTTGAAATGAACTTCAAGGATCGAACCAAGGGTGAAAAGAAAAAGAACAACCAATCATTTTCAACACCTTAGTCCAGAGAAGGGTGCCTTTTGTATTTTACCACAATACCAAATCATCTTTCATTTAAATAATCTTTAAAATGAAGGCCGGGTCATATTTCCTTGCCATTTGGTGGAAGTATTGGTGAAAAAACGAAAAGCTTGTCAAATGTATGATAGAAGCCAAGCTGAAAAAAAAAGTTTCGAGGCTAAAAAGTTTTTTTTTAACAAAGCACATTATTGACAGGGAACTAAACTAGCTTTGATTGCAAAAAAACGGCAAGCAACTCACAGAAACTAAAAAAAACCGCGTTCCTTAATGAACTTTGAAGCAAAGTACATCACATCCTGAAAAAGCTTTTCGAAGTTCAAGAACCTTTTATGAGGTACCATTTTTCAGAAAGAAGCGAAGCGGAACAACGAATACAAACATAACATAAAAAACTAGCTTGGTTGACCTTCTCTCTCTTTCTTTCTCTCTCTCCTCTCTTTCTCTTTCTCTCTCTCTCTCTCTCTCTCTCTCTCTCTCTCTCTCTCTCTCTCTCTCTCTCTCTCTCTCTCTCTGCCTCTCTCTCTCTCTCTCTCTCTCTCTCTCTCTCAAAGGGACTTCTTGTCCATCCCATAGAATTGAAAAAGTGAATTCAACTCGGCCTATCCTTTGCCACACTGGACAGATTGAAACCTAAGGCAACCAGCGCCATTTCTGTTCTTAGGAAGTTTAATTTGTTTTTAGAAAGCTGATGTCAGATCTCAATATTAATCTATCTGGTCTCTAGAGGATTGCTGTGACTTTATAGGAACGCTTTCCAAATGACAAGGAAATGTAAGTACCCGAGAGATATATTTATCGGATGTCGCAGATTGTCAGGACGGTAATCCTCAGAAGGCTCAGAGGACTAAGAAACAAGTTTATGAAAAAGCCTTTAATTTTAATCCAGTTGGTTACTCTCGCGGATATCTGTGTCGAGTGATTTTACAATGTTTTATAAGCCAAGAGTATATGATGTTATTTACACTCATCAAATACACCTAGAAGACAAACACCTAAAAGACAATGCAGACATGGCATCCCGCGAACTTTTCTATTCCACTGGCGGTTGATGATTCTATGTCGAACTCGAAGAGAGTGTATGCACATGGAATTTAGGGATGTGACACTACCATCCTTTGAAAGCTGACTTGGGTTCGATTATTCGTCTCCATTCTGCTACTGTTTTTTATAGAAAGAGTAGGGTTATATTTGAAGAGTTCTAATTCCACGCACAAACCGTTGATCAGATTATATTATATATGTTAACAAATATACAGCAGATGAATTAATACAGTTTGTCCAGAATGTGTTGAAAATTAAAGTGATAACTTTCTTTAAATAGGTACCTTTAAGGTTACTGAAAGGTGTTTTATGGTGTAATTAACGTCTCAATGTTCTTTCAGTGGTACTATGTTTCATTCATGAAATGAAGTCCTGGTTGTGGTTTAGAAACATCCCTGTTGATGTATGATGTCTATGCGGTGAAAGCATGAGCTCTCACATTGAGTTCATTGTCTTCTCCAGTTTTATTCAACTCGCGTGTTTTTTCACGTCGTTCAATGTTTCTTGAATTGGAGCTGTGGGTTCCACTGAGTCGACAATTGTCTCTTGTAATACTGGAGGTCTCAAGAGTGAAATGGGTTCCATTTTCTCCCTTTTGCATTTGTGGTAGATCCACATAAATAGTGCACGGAGTACCATTGAGCCGATGAACGAAACTATATTGATTATCAATGAGTTTTTCAATGTTAGCCGGTCATCAAAGACTCCTACTAACAAAGGTCGAAGTTCCTCATGTTCAGCGCTCACGGCTTTGCTATTTTCCTCATCTGTTCTTGATTTTGAACATTTAGGATTTCGAGCAACTTCTTCTTTAATTCCTTGAATAATTCGATTCCCGCTTCCGTTTTTGAGTCCTAGTATGGCATGTCCTCCAATTCTGGCAGTTCGCTTAGCAAAATTAAGATGGGTTCCGGCAGTTGGACATTTATCTTGATTGGTGGGAGCTGTGCGAATGTTGCTAGATCTGATCTTATTTTGATATTAGGCCCTACCAATTGTTTTCCATATTCCAGTGTTACAAGGCAGACATGGCATCCCGCGAACTTTTCTATTCTACTGGCGGTTGATGATTCTATGTCGAACTCGAAGAGGGTGTATGCAAATGTTGCTGATGTGATCAACCAAACCCCAAATCCTAGACTTTCAGCTTTTTCAGTTGATGGTAACTGAATCTGTTCAGTGTCCCATACTTTCATTGTCCAGATTCCCTTTGAAGAAAAGTGTCGCCAGACACGACCCATGCCCTGTCTCAGTAGGTATCATTTCGTGGCAAAACTGATATCTTGAAGATCCAAGGCAGTACTTCAAGTTGTATTCCGTTAATACTGCAGTTTCCATATTGTCCTCCGATATAAAAATAATAATAATAATAATAAATAATAATAATAGTAATAATAACAAAGGATTTAGGACTAATCCAAGGGTTCGCATAAAACCCAATGATTGGGAGGTTCAACGTTCGTGTTTCAGTTGTTAAAGTTTAGTTTCTTCAAATCTCTACAGTTGTTGCAGCCACATAAGATCTGCCAAGTGCATGAATCTGATTCGTTGTAGCGGGTTTTGAAGAACTTCGTATAAACTTCCAGCAGTTTAATTTTGCATCCTGGATCAAAGATTATGTCAAATTTGAAGTAATCGTTAAAAAGGTTGGCCAGACGGCAAGCTCGAAACCAGTAATCGGATTCACACTTCTTCAGACGTATTTGTTGGCAGGCAAAATTTCGTGTTGCTTGTTTTTTTTCGAGTACCGATGTCTGTGATGGTTACTTGACTACGCCAGTCTATGTCAACTTTTCCTGTTAGTATTTTGGCAAACAAGAGAATAACATGAAGTTCTTGATATAAGGAGATTGGAAGGATATCGAGTTTCACGAGCTTATCCTTATAGGATATGTTGTTTGTGATGAAGATCCATGATAATGCTTTTCGCTGGATACTTTCAAGAGTACCTAAGTCGCCTTTTTGATGGTTTCCAAAGGGCTGATCCGTAGTTTAAAATTGGCACAACATAACAGATATATGCGTTCTTTCTGGTCCAAAACGTCGCTTTTGAAAGATTCCGTTTTAGGATGAAGAGAGCGTTCAAGGCTTTTTCGGTCCTTTTCTTTGCATGCAGAGTCCACGAGAGTGTGTCATTTACGAGAATTCCCAGATCTTTCATACATTCAGTTGTTTCAAATTCATGGTTTGGCAGTGCAATAGGAGCTGTACCTTTAATGCAGAGCACTTTACTTTTTCCTAAGTTCATTGACATGAAATTTTCGTCACACCACCGCCACAGTTTTCTAACGTCTATATTCAGTGTTAAAGGGTTGTCGCCTACAATTTTGTAGTCATCAGCATAACCGAACGATTTGGACATGACACATGATGGAAGATCGTTTATGAAAACTAAGAAGAAGAGCGGTCCGAGGATGGAGCCTTGTGGTACGCCACTGAATACTTCTAATTCAATTGAAACAGTGTCATTTAGTCTCACAGTTTGCTTCCGTTTATAGAGGTAGCTTCTTAACAGATTCAAACAATTTCCACCAATCCCCAGAGCAGCCAACTTTTGTATGAGAAGCTCATGCGTGACTTTGTCAAACGCTTTCTCGAAGTCTATATAGAAGATATTCAGATAGGAGCAGTTTTCAGACTCTAAGCAGCTATAGATTTCATGCAGATATTCTATAAGGTTCGTTATAGTTGATCGTTTGGGTCTGAAACCATGTTGGGCTGATGCCAGAGTTGGGTAAACAATTGGAGTCAGCTTCTCGAAAATCAGTTTCTCTAGCAGTTTTGAAACTGTTGAAAGCAGGCTGATAGGCCTGTAATTACTCACATCTTGTTTATCTCCGTCTTTGAGTATTATTATAGTATATATATCCAAGCAGGGAGCTTCCGTTTTCCTTATAATCGGTTTATCCTTCTCGTACTACTTTTATTTAAGAACAACTAAGTTTTCACGGCTTAAAAAAATCTTAAATAAGCTATTGTAAGCCTAAACGCTCACATCTTATTCAATGTTCCGGATTTGAATCTCGCAATGTAGATTAGAATTGACACGTCTCGCATTTTCACCGCAGTCGTTTTACAATCAGCAAACACAAGCCATCATAAAATCAGAGAACAGATGCCAGGAAAATTCCAATGCTACAGATCGTGATTCTTGCCTAAGTGTCAACAAATGAGCTATTTCCGAGAAATAAATGTTAATACTATATCGCTACGCTCGCTAGCTTGCTTGTGTAATTAAAAACGCTGAATGATATATGACAAGTTTAATTCAATCCGTTAGAGTCCATTAACAGTCTAGTAATTTAGTAAGTTCATACGATTTATTTCTTTTTCGGGAACAGCTCGTTCAATTTGGGAATTTGAATATCGAATTCCTCATCTTCACCCTCTTCCTCATGGTGATCATGAGATGCGTTAAGAGCTTGCTCTTCTTCGTATGCTTCCGGTGATACCTCGGGAAAAGCTTCATGGATTTCATCATCCGACATCTGTGTTAAACATTTCATAGAGGTATACTTGGATGCCTGTTGCTTCAAGGTAGACGACCGTGCACTGCCTTCCGCTTTAAATTCGGCAAAAGATTTTTCGTAATCTTTTTTCAGTTTGTCGATTTCACTGGTCATTGTGTTCACTGGACGGGAAACTTTCACGCTTTCCATTACTTTTTTCATCTCATCTACAATGGGTTTCTTCGAAGCTCCGAGAACCGTCTTGTAATGTTCCCAATCCGGAGTTTTCTGTTTCTCTGGAAGAGATTCAACTTTTGCGGCTAGTGCTTCTGATTTTGATCTAAAAGCATTAAACGCTGCTCGCTGCTCAGGAGCCACAATGTCGGCCATTTTGGTCCAGTTGACTCTGGCTGCTGCTCTTGCCATATTACTCTGAAATCAATTTTAAAAAATACAATCTAAACATTAAATCTTTTTTTGTCTTTTTTTTCTTTTCTTTTTCTAATCAGAAAGTCGAAAATATGATAATAACAGGCAAAGTCAGAAGTCCCTTCATCACATTATCTAGTCAAAATCCTATGAATTTTCTAGATATCGAAGAGTAAAGTATAATGTTAAGAGAAGTAAGTCAGATGGTTTCAGAGAAGTAATTCAGAGTATAGAAGAGAGTCAGATGGTTGGATTTCAAGCCAAATAGATTTTTTTTCTTTTTTTTTTCTTCTGGTAATCAGAAGGTCAAAAGTATCATAGTAACCGAGGTTACAGTCATGAGTCCCTTTATCATGTATTCCAGTCAAAATCCTTGGAATTTTTTAGATATGGAAGTGATAATGATAAAAGAAGATGACAAGTGTTTAAGTCCTTTTCAGTTAAAATCGATACGGGTTACGTTTCTTCAATAAGAACACGCAACTCGACACGAGATAATATAATATACAAGTGTTACAAGTAAAAAATTTCGTCGAAAGTTATTTTGTCATTTATTGTTCCGAGTACGCAATGGCGTTCGCAATCTGTATTGCCAGGGAGATTCTCTGTTTTAAAAAGCTGCCTGCTCTGGGTTCCTCAGTGCATATGCTTAGGTTCTTACAAAGCTTGCTCAAAAAAACTTCTGTGCTGGGGCCGGCCGCGCCCTGAATTTCAAAAGCTAGCGGTTGGAAAAGATATCCATCATTTACAAGATCTTTATACTTGTCAATTTATCGCTCTTCCGCTTTAGCGGCAGCCGTACCAGGGTTACAAACAGACCCGGCATTAATCCTACAAGGAGCGCTAAGGAGTCTACTACCGTTACATCCCACAAGAGCTGCTTACCATCAGCCCATGGAACGAGCGTCAAACCGTCTGGTCGCTTCTGATCGGTCCTGTAGAGGTGTCGTGGTTCTAAAACAGACGGAATGTGAGTAGATGATAGACTCTGCTTTATAAGGGCATTCAGGTTTGAATGCCTAGAGAATCTCCCTGCACTTTTGAGGCAAGAAAGACCGTGCCAACCATCCTCGGTAACGTCTTTTCCGCACACGCATTTATGCCGTTTGCATATTTTTGATCCTAATCGAAGTCCTATCGCAATTCTGAGTTGTTGGTTTGACAGTTTTAACCTTAAATTTTTGCACGGGATGACGTTCAACCATTGGGAGCCAAATCTATCTTGGAACGCGTTGAACCTTTTTACGTCCGTTGGTTCGAGTCATTAAATCAAGTCTGCAATTTCGCTGTCAAAAATTGGCTCCGTCCAATTTTTTTGGATTTCATTTTCCGGACTCATTTCAAATTTTCCAAGGTCAAACCACCGTTTAAGCGCATCATCATAGGTTCCATCCACATGCCCCAAACCAAAGATTTTGCTCAAGGCATCTTTTGCTCCTACTGCTGAGGCTAAGAAAGCGGGTAAAGCGAGTAGACGAGCGGAAGAAACGCCCAAGCCACCTTTGGCTGCCGGGAGAACAGCTTGTAAAATTTGGTTATCATCCATTTTCACGTTAGTGACCTTGCAGAACGAATTTCTTAGTAATTTATCGTAACGTTCCAAAAAATAAGGTATTTAAAAAAGTAAATTAAGAACTTTTTTGCACATTTATGCATCATCAGGTTTAAAAGTAAAAAAAAAATTGTTAAATGATCATCGACCATAAAAACATCCTCGGATATTGGCTATACACGATAATAAAAACTCTATCAATCAGATTTCAAATTCGCGCCAAAACTACATCATGATCATACTATCAGACTTAAGTTTTTGAGACAGTCTCTAGTTTTATCTTTAAATTAAATTAAATTCAAATTTTATTTGTCTCAATTTTTAATTTCGGAACAAGTCAATTTTTTATTTCGAAATTTATTTGTTTTTAAAGAGATTTTTGATAGAAAGTAACTCTGAAACGTTTCCGCAACTATGTTCATCGTCAGGATTTTTACAAAAAACTTATCTAAACGACAATAAAACAACAATTTAACGATGTTATTTACAATAATTCACATAAATTGTTGTTCTAAAACATCATGTTAAAAAATTAGCCAATCACAGTTGACTTCTGAAATTACTATTTACATTCAAACACTTTTAACCTCTAAAAATGATTAAACAAATTTTAATTAATTTGTCTGGAAGTTTCTGAGTCATAATTTCGATTTAGACATGTACGTTTTAAATAAAAAATCAAAAAGATTTGTGACTAAACTTGCAGTGTTAACTTCCTGCTCCTGACCTCATAGCGCGTGCTCAAGCACGGTTTCTCTTTCCTGAATTGAATTGCCTCTAGTATTCAAAGTTTTGTTTGGATGTTTGACCTCTCTACAATTTCCCAACTAAGATCTGCGCTATTTCCCTCAGGACTGCATTGTTGAAGAGGGCCTACCGGTGAGTCTGCTTTCTTATGTTTCTCAATTTTAGTGGTCAAATGTCGAACAATTTTTCCGGCATAGGTGGAAATGCATTAACTACATGACAGTTACAAAATCACTCTTGACTTGAGGTCATTAAAAAATGCTGACTTCAGTGATGGTAAAATTGATTGTAACATTCGCCCGGAAGTACATATCGTCGGAAAGAACGAGTGGCTAGCGTCGAAACACAACTCTACATCCTTTTTCACCGTCTCTGCCAAAGCCATTTCTTTTGGTGGTTTTCCTAAAATCGGGTCGATAGACAAAACGTTATTGCTTTCCCGCTTTGACCAGAACGCTCAAATTAACTTAATTACATGCAAAAGTAGTGAACTCATGACTGGGTCTCAGTATGCCCACGAGGTCAGTCCTAAAAACAGGGCTATTACTATTTATTATATTACTAATGTTTTTTTTCAGTAGATAAAAATCATCATCTCCATCCCGATTTAGAACATATCCCGATTTAGAACTTTTTCTTCTAGGTTTAAAAAGTGTAGGGACGCAGGACAGTCCTGCCAACCCACAAACTAAAACTATCCTACTATGCTTCTTCCCTTCGGAAATTTAGTTGTTACTGACCCTGGATATCAAAATTAATAAACTCGGTAATTAGAAAGAACAATGAAATAACGTCTCGCATTTTCACCGCAGTCGTTTTACAATCAGCAAACACAAGCCATCATAAACCAGAGAACAGATGCCAGGAAAATTCCAATGCTACAGATCGTGATTCTTGCCTAAGTGTCAACAAATGAGCTATTTCCGAGAAATAAATGTTAATACTATATCGCTACGCTCGCTAGCTTGCTTGTGTAATTAAAAACGCTGAATGATATATGACAAGTTTAATTCAATCCGTTAGAGTCCATTAACAGTCTAGTAATTTAGTAAGTTCATACGATTTATTTCTTTTTCGGGAACAGCTCGTTCAATTTGGGAATTTGAATATCGAATTCCTCATCTTCACCCTCTTCCTCATGGTGATCATGAGATGCGTTAAGAGCTTGCTCTTCTTCGTATGCTTCCGGTGATACCTCGGGAAAAGCTTCATGGATTTCATCATCCGACATCTGTGTTAAACATTTCATAGAGGTATACTTGGATGCCTGTTGCTTCAAGGTAGACGACCGTGCACTGCCTTCCGCTTTAAATTCGGCAAAAGATTTTTCGTAATCTTTTTTCAGTTTGTCGATTTCACTGGTCATTGTGTTCACTGGACGGGAAACTTTCACGCTTTCCATTACTTTTTTCATCTCATCTACAATGGGTTTCTTCGAAGCTCCGAGAACCGTCTTGTAATGTTCCCAATCCGGAGTTTTCTGTTTCTCTGGAAGAGATTCAACTTTTGCGGCTAGTGCTTCTGATTTTGATCTAAAAGCATTAAACGCTGCTCGCTGCTCAGGAGCCACAATGTCGGCCATTTTGGTCCAGTTGACTCTGGCTGCTGCTCTTGCCATATTACTCTGAAATCAATTTTAAAAAATACAATCTAAACATTAAATCTTTTTTTGTCTTTTTTTTCTTTTCTTTTTCTAATCAGAAAGTCGAAAATATGATAATAACAGGCAAAGTCAGAAGTCCCTTCATCACATTATCTAGTCAAAATCCTATGAATTTTCTAGATATCGAAGAGTAAAGTATAATGTTAAGAGAAGTAAGTCAGATGGTTTCAGAGAAGTAATTCAGAGTATAGAAGAGAGTCAGATGGTTGGATTTCAAGCCAAATAGATTTTTTTTCTTTTTTTTTTCTTCTGGTAATCAGAAGGTCAAAAGTATCATAGTAACCGAGGTTACAGTTATGAGTCCCTTTATCATGTATTCCAGTCAAAATCCTTGGAATTTTTTAGATATGGAAGTGATAATGATAAAAGAAGATGACAAGTGTTTAAGTCCTTTTCAGTTAAAATCGATACGGGTTACGTTTCTTCAATAAGAACACGCAACTCGACACGAGATAATATAATATACAAGTGTTACAAGTAAAAAATTTCGTCGAAAGTTATTTTGTCATTTATTGTTCCGAGTACGCAATGGCGTTCGCAATCTGTATTGCCAGGGAGATTCTCTGTTTTAAAAAGCTGCCTGCTCTGGGTTCCTCAGTGCATATGCTTAGGTTCTTACAAAGCTTGCTCAAAAAAACTTCTGTGCTGGGGCCGGCCGCGCCCTAAATTTCAAAAGCTAGCGGTTGGAAAAGATATCCATCATTTACAAGATCTTTATACTTGTCAATTTTTCGCTCTTCCGCTTTAGCGGCAGCCGTACCAGGGTTACAAACAGACCCGGCATTAATCCTACAAGGAGCTAAGGAGTCTACTACCGTTACATCCCACAAGAGCTGCTTACCATCAGCCCATGGAACGAGCGTCAAACCGTCTGGTCGCTTCTGATCGGTCCTGTAGAGATGTCGTGGTTCTAAAACAGACGGAATGTGAGTAGATGATAGACTCTGCTTTATAAGGGCATTCAGGTTTGAATGCCTAGAGAATCTCCCTGCACTTTTGAGGCAAGAAAGACCGTGCCAACCATCCTCGGTAACG